TCACTGATATGAGGAATTCTTTTTTTTTTTAAAGATTTTTTTGAGAGAGAGAGAAAGCACATGAGAGGGGGGGAGGGTCAGAAGGAGAAGCAGACTCCCCGCCGAGCAGGGAGCCCGATGCGGGACTCGATCCAGGGACTCCAGGATCATGACCTGAGCTGAAGGCAGTGGCCTAACCAACTGAGCCACCCAGGCGCCCCAGATATGAGGAATTCTTGATCTCAGGAAACAAACTGAGGTTTGCTGGAGTGGTGGGGGCAGGAGGGATGGGGTGGCTGGGTGATAGACTTTGGGGAGGGTATGTGCTTGGTGAGCGCTGTGAATTGTGTAAGACTTTTGAATCACAGACCTGTACCTCTGAAACAAATAATAGATTATATGTTAATAAAAAAAAAAAGAAGAAGATAGCAGGAAGGGAAAAATGAAGGGGGGGATATCGGAGGGGGAGTTGAACCATGAGAGTCTATGCACTCTGGGAAACAAACTGAGGGTTCTAGAGGGGAGGGGGTGGGGGGATGTGTTAGCCTCGTGATGGGTTTCAAGGAGGGCACATACTGAATGGAGCACTGGGTGTTATACACAATGAGTCATGGAACACTACATCAAAAACTAATGATGTAATGTATGGTGATTAACATAACATAATAAAAAAATCAAAAACAAAACTTTTGGTTCATTTTCTGTGCAAAAAAAACCCTACCTAGAAAGAGGTTATGAATTATTCTTTTCCTTTTGTGGGCGTCCTTCCTTTTGCTTTGGAATATTCATAAGGCTAAAAAAAATCAGCAGTCATTCTTTCACTCCCCAACTGTCCCCTTCACATTTATCTACCTAAGAATTTCTATTCTCTTGTTTGCTGTACCCTAGGTGAAGCAAAAAATGTCCCATGGAAAAAACAATTTTATCCAAGTAACGTACATATGAAAAATTTAGTAAAGTAGCATAAGACTCTAGAGAAAAACATACTCTAGAATAACCAAACTAGGCTTGTATAGTTTTTCTTTCTATTCTTTTCCTGAATCTATGAACACTGAGGATTTGGTAAAGTACATTAGAAACTATCAAAAGCATCTATCAAAGGCCTAACCACTGTTACATGCTTAATTTGTATTAGTATGTGGGACTTTTGTTTTTTTCAGTCAGTGATCTGCAAAATTTATCCATTCTCTTTCACACTGACAGATATAATCCTCCCTATTAAATACACCATCACTTCCTTGGCATTAGGAACAGCCTAAGTTATCCTCTTCAACAAACTCCTCATGGCATTTTTCACCTCTGTGTTTCTCAGGGTGTAAATAATAGGATTTAACATGGGAGTGAGGATTGCAAAGAAGACAGTCACCAACTTGTCCACAGGGTAGGTGACCACAGGACGCATATAGGTGAATATACAAGGCACAAAAAAGAGTACAACTACAGTAAAGTGGGAGCCACATGTTGAGAGGGCTTTGTGCCGACCTTCAGAGCCATGGGATTTCAGGGAGCTCAGGATGACTACGTAGGAGATGAGTAGCATGGAAAAAATGAGCAAGCACATGGCCCCACTGTTGGCCGCCACCATCATTCCAAAACCGTAGGTGTTGCTGCAGGCAAGTTTCAGCAGAGGGAAGAGATCACACATGAAGTGGTCAATAACATTTGGACCACAGAAGGGCAAGTTGACCATGAAAAGGATCTGCACAGTGGCATGCAGGATCCCCCCTATCCAGGCCACCACTACCAGGAGGTGGCAGAGCCCCTGTCGCATGACTGTCGTGTAGTGCAGGGGCTTGCCGATGGCTACATAGCGATCATAGGCCATGACAATGAGGAGGATGATCTCTGATCCTCCCAGGAAGTGCTCCACGAAGAGCTGAGTCAGGCAGCCACCGAAGGAGATGGTTCTCCTCTGGTACAGCAGGCCGATGATCATTTTGGGGTGGTCATAGAGGTAGGAGGCATCTATAAAGGACAAGTAAGTGAGAAAGAAATACATGGGAGCCGAAAGTGTGGGGCTGAGGGAGATGGTAATGACAATGAGCAGATTGGCCAGCACAGTAAATAGAAAAATTAACAAAAAGACCACGAAGAGTATTTTTCTGCAAGTGTGGATTCTGCGTGAGTCCCAAGAGAATAAATTCAGTCACGTTGTTGGGAAGTGTGAGGCGATCCATTCAGGAAGTAACACATTCCTAGGGCCTGAATTCCCTACAAAGGGATAAAAAGAGACAGCTATTATCCATGAAAGTATTGTAGTCTGAATTTCATAGTACAAAAACAGTGACTAACTGGGGAGCATGTCCTGGGCACTCCTTGCCTCAACATTCGTTTCAATTCTTTCTTACTTCCTCCACAATGCTTTCCATCTCCTCAGATACCTCATACCTGCCACCTATAAACACCCATAGGTGGGTGAAATGTGAAATATAAATTTACTGAGAAAACACTGGGTTATAAACATGAGCTTGGGATTTTCCTGGTTCCAACTCTATGTGACTTTACTAAGTCATGTCAGTGTCCCATGCTTCTGAGCCAGCCTCTGTGTCCATGAGCTTACAAATTGTTAATTCTCACATGTATTTTATAAAATAAGAGTTATTCCCTCTTCCAAGGGAATTTACATTTGAACCCTCAGCTCTCACTGTGGAAAGAAAGACATGGTCAATAAGTGTCTATCACAAGCAGGTGGTTTAAAACAGGAAAGGTACAAGCCATTGGTGACATGTCCTCCCTGGTACCTACCATAACATATATACTGTTCTTGTGTCTCTTCGCTGTGCCTACCGCAATGTCCAGCACAATGTCTGCAGTGTCTGGTGCTGATTAGGTAATGAATAAATGCTTGGTGAATTGCCACACTTCCTGCATCTCCACAGGTAAGAATGCACTCACTTCCCCAGCCCATAAACCTAGATATCCAAGCACTCTTGGCCTCAACTCTGTTTTCACTCTCTACTTTTTGAGAAACAAATAAACTTCTGAAGAAAAAAGCTGCGTTCTAGTTTAACAGTTTCTGACACAATTTATAGGGTGAGTATGAAAATATTAATTGCTTCTAGGAAAGAATATGTTCCTCGGTCATTTTACTTTCAAGATTATTATTAGTTAATTTTTTTATTCTTCAACATTCTGTTCCACACACAATTTAACATAACCACATTCAGTAAGTTGGCAGCTTCAGTAGAACAGGATAAAAACTCTTGGATGGGTGTTCAATACATGAGGATCTTATTTTAAATGTTTTAAAATTAGAAATTTAATGTGGAGAACAGAAAGAAATAGTCAGGTAAGATAGATAACACACTACGTATATACATATACACACACAAATACATAAAATCTACTACTTACTATATGTGCCTATTAAGTGTTCATTCATTTAACAAACATTTATTGGACAATTCCTATGTATATAAATGTATGTTTGTCCACATAAAGTCATAAAAACTGTCCCTGTTTAAATGCCTTAATAATCCCCTCCCCAATACTTGATTTCCAAACAGCAGCAATGCATTCATTCATGAGATCCCTCCACTCCTTTATGTTTCTCTTATATGCTTTTCATGCCTTCTTTTTGCATTCTCCATGGCATCCATCATCCATCATTCCTGGTTGCAGGATATTGCATTACTAATTCAAGGAGGAAATTTGGGGACATACAGTTCCCAAAGGAAACAAAGGAGAAAATGTAAATATAATGAAATGAATTTTTCAAGAAAATATTTTTTTTCCTTGCAAAGATAAATGGACAAAGAATTTTATTTTTTAATTATCCAAAATGAAAATTTTACTCCTGTGTGAAAATCAAGTGCAGCAGCTTCATTGTGTTCTCTTATTCTGAGGTGCACTCCCCCAACAGATCATAAAAGAGTATAGTGTACATAAAGTAAGAATAAGATGTAGTTAATAAGTTATTTAGTAATAGCTATGAAGAAATAGAAGTTATTTTGTCCTTTTAACTTTGACTCCACAGTATTCTTTCTAAGAATAAACCCCAAAGAAAAATATTTTTAAAAAAATCATTATGTTCAAATCTGTTCATCACAATTATTAAGACCTGTGGAAAATTAGAAACTGCATACAATGTCCAACATTAGAGAAACAGATAAGTAAAATATAGTGCACCTGTTTGAATAATGTGTTTTTAACAGAGATTTTTTAAAAATTACACAATGCCAAAGGAAAATTATTATGTTGTAATAATAGGTGGAGAAAAGTTTGGATGCAAATTTGAATATATAACATGATTCTAACTAATTAAAATATATATCAATAAGAAAAAAGAGCCCAAAATATTTTTACTTCTAAATTGGTGGTATGTAGTTGAGTCTGTCTATTGTGATGCATCACCTCCTGAAGAGATTTAACCCTCAGACCTGTGGAGTATCAGAGGTGTTTATATGACTTGTAAGATGCATTTAAACATAAGATTCTATAATTATATGATTTTCTGGGGAAAAAATTATCTCACCTGTGAACTTGTCTGGCATAGCTTCATGGCCAGGGTTCCAGGCAGCTGTTAGTTCACCAAGAAATAAGTAAGGTTGTGAGGTTAAAATACCAACTTGTTAAGCTCCATTAAGTGCTTTGTTGATTTATAAATGGCACCATGCTCTTCACCCTCACAGGCACGACCAAATACCCTGTTGGTAGGCATATTCTGTGAAGTTTATTAGCTGTGGTTAATTAGACCTCAGGGATATGTCACCGTCATTCCTAGATCTTGCCAACAACCCAATTATTTCCATGTAACTTAACTGAACATCAAAGGAGAAGTTTTATAGCACTCATCTTTAATTTTTAATTCCTTCCTCTAGTCTGTGTGAAGACAAAACTCCATGACAAGAGCAAATAACTAAGTCAACCACTTATGAATTTGTATGCATGATAAAAATGAGTTTAATACAGAGTCTGGATATTTGGTATTATATAAATTAAACATTTAGAGGGATAACGATCTGATTTTTAAAATTTTCATTATAATATTTTGTGTTTTTTGATTGATCAATCATTCATGGTGATAATTTTAAGTATTGTTTAAAGATGTACATTAAGGGCACCTGGGTGGCTTAGTTGGTTAAGTGACTGTCTTCGGCTCAGGTAATGATCCTGGAGTCCCGGGATCAAGTCCCGCATCGGGCTCCCTGCTCAGCAGGGAGTCTGCTTCTCCCCCTGACCCTCTTCCCTCTCGTGCTCTCTATCTCTCAGTCTCTCTCTCCCAAATAAATAAATAAATCTTTAAAACTAAATAAATATAGATGTACATTAAGTGATAGTTATGAACCCCATTATAATATTGGCACTTCATACCAGCTAAAGCTTAAAATACCTCTTCGAAGTAGTTGTTACTTCTGCCAATTCTGAAATTAGATTAACATAATAATGAAAATAATTCCATTCTTGAATCATATTCAGAAATGATAAAAGGATTTATTTCAGTAATTTAAATTTAATCTCATACTATCCCTATGAAATAGAAAAGAAATAAGCGAATGTATTCACAATTCATAACAAGGAATATAAGACAGGAATTGAGAATGCCATTCACCAAGGCAAAAGAAGAAGCCAGGCCTCTAAATCTTGGGTCAGGATCCTAATCCCTAAATTATTTTACAAATAAAGTGTCCTAATACCTTATGCTGGCACCAACTGTGAGGCATATTACAATTATCTGCTAAAAGAAATAAATATCCTGATGAAGTCCCAAAAGTTCATTTTTGCTTTTGTTTCACTAGCTTAAAAAGCTTCTGCACAGCAAAGGAAACAGTCAACAAAACAAAGAGGCAACCCACAGAATGGGAGGAGATATTTGCAAATGACACTACAGATAAAGGGCTGGTATCCAAGATCTATAAAGAACTCGGGTGGGAGGGATGGGGTGGCTGGGTGATAGACATTGGGGAGGGTATGTGCTATGGTGAGTTCTGTGAATTGTGTAAGACTGTTGAATCACAGACCTGTACCTCTGAAAAAAATAATAAATTATATGTTAAAAAAAAAGAAGAAGATAGTAAGAAGGGAAATATGAAGGGGGGGAAATCGGAGGGGGAGATGAACCATGAGAGACTATGGACTCTGAGAAACAAACTGAGGGTTAGAGGGGAGGGGGTGGGGGGGTTGGTTAGCCTGGTGCTGGGTATTAAAGAGGGCACGTACTGAATGGAGCTCTGGGTGTTATACACAAACAATGAATCACGGAACACTACATCAAAAACTAATGATGTGGAGGCGGAGCAAGATGGCGGAGGAGTTAGGAGACCTGGATTTCGTCTGGTCTCAGGAATTCAGCTGAATAGGGATCAAACCATTCTGAACACCTACGAACTCAACAGGAGATCG